GCACCAAGCTTATAAAAATGCGGTGAAACTTTTTTAATTTAAAGAATATAATTTACAGGAAAAGCCCCAAGCCATTAAGTTAATTGATTTTCTTACACCCCTCATCACCCCAAATCGATGGTGCGCCAGAATTTCAAGTTTTACTTTGGTGAACACTTTTACTTTGGTGAATTTGGTGAATTCCGCATTCGCTCTCTAGACCAGAACCAGAATCCAGACAAAATTCAGAGTGAATAGAAACCAGGCTCTTTGCCTTACATGAAGAGCCTGGTGACGCGAGGCTAGTGTGGTGGTAATCTGAATCATTTGCAAGGACCCCCCACCCCCCCCACCCCAGGGACTCCAGGGGCCCCAGTGCAACCGCACAGCCTCCACTGTCTGTATTTACACCCCTGATTTCTCCATTAATGTCTTCATCACTGTAATGTTGGAGCTGGCAAAGGTGGGGTTAAGTTTTATTACTTCATATACTACTGGGTAGGTTGAGAATCTGCCTTGGAGGATCAAGTTGCATCTTGTCTTAAACTTACCATACAACATAATTCACTTGTGATTCTACTTTGTATTAATGTGACTGCAAAGTAATGAATATAGTGGAGTACCAACTATAATATTTGCCCCTGAACTGTAATAATGGAGCAGAAGTGTAGAGATGGAGAGGGCGGAAATACTCAAGCGAAGTATAAGTATGTCACAACCGTACTAAAGTACAGTACTCGAGTAAATGTACTCACTTAGTTTTTGTTGATTTAAATAAGAAAAAGGACAAATGTGACACAATAGAGACTCTGCAATAACTATACTTAGCAGATATACACACCGACGATACAGAAGAAAAGCGGTAATGATCAGAAATCGGTTTAAAAGTATCCACTTCCGGTCCGAAGTTGTCAGTTATGATTACTCAATTTTCCAGCAGAGCTCGTGGCGCATATGATATTTCAGTTCATCCAATAGGAAGCGCGCTCACGTGACTTCGGACCAATGAGATTCAGCAGCACTTTTCCGCCGGTTAGAGGAGTATAAATGAGCCCGCCCAGAGAAAACGCGTCAGTTACTTCTTACGCTGGTCTCCTAACCGCCTGCTGTGAGAGTTAACCGTACCTCTTCCTCCTCTTTAACAAAACTGTAAGACACTTCACAGCTTCAGGAAACATGGTAAGTTGTAAACTAAGGTTTTATTTTACTTATTGTGTGCTAATTTAGCTCAGTTCACCGCTCTGAAAGTGTGTCACCACGTGGCAACTCAGTTTTACTAAGTGGTTTAAGTATGAGGAAGTAGCATCAACTGTCGACGTTAAAACAAAAAGTTAAAGGTAAGGAACAGTTGACCAAACTTCGTCCTCGGTGGGTCGTTTTTTAACTGTAGTGTTGGTAAGTTTAAGTGATAATTCGACGGGGCACAGCCCAAATTATGGATAAGTCGTGGCTGGCAGCTTCCGGCTTTCTTGTCTGTACATTGACCCAGTTAGCAAAGGTCAGTGTGCTTTCAGCCTGAACATTCAGACTACCCTCTGTTTGAAGAGGCCCTTATGAAAGTGCAACCACAGGCTTTTTAAATAAAACCTATTCACTAAAAGCTTAATGGGGCTTGTACATGTAATCTTTGATGTTGTAAAGGCCTCACTTTGTATGAAAGTCCTGAACTCCAGCCGTGTTTGGTTTGTTTCACCACAGAGCTTTGATGTGGATGTTTTCAATGAACCAGTTTTTTTGTTGAGCATATTTTAAGTCTGAATGATCAACCACTCCCTAAGTTTTTTTTACCCCTTTTTAAGGAGTGTTTGCTGTGAGGCTAAATGACTGCATCAGGTGATGTTAGTCATGATGTTCTGGTATCTGGTGCTTCACACTAGAGCCTTTGTCTCCTGATTTGAATCTTGCATTAGCCCCGGAGCCGTGCTCAACATGTGACGAGTGGCCTCCAGCATCTGATTTGTTAAAATTACACCACAACCAGCTTATTTGAATAACATATATACTTTCTGATCAACAACCTTTTTTCTTTCCACAGCGTGAGTGTATCTCCGTGCACGTCGGTCAGGCTGGTGTCCAGATTGGCAATGCCTGCTGGGAGCTTTACTGCCTGGAACATGGGATCCAGCCTGACGGACAGATGCCCAGTGACAAGACCATCGGCGGAGGAGATGATTCCTTCAACACCTTCTTCAGTGAGACTGGAGCTGGAAAGCACGTCCCCAGAGCTGTTTTTGTTGACCTGGAGCCCACTGTCATCGGTAAACTCTCTTAAAATACAAATTTAAAAAAATATATAGTTGCTGCTTTTGTGTAGTTTTTTTTCCCTTATGTCAAAGCCTCCTATAATTTATTTTTATTTCTCTTCTCAGATGAGGTGCGCACTGGGACCTACCGCCAGCTGTTCCACCCTGAGCAGCTGATCACTGGCAAGGAGGATGCTGCCAACAACTACGCCCGTGGACACTACACCATCGGCAAAGAGATCATCGACCTGGTGCTGGACAGGATCCGCAAACTGGTGGGTAACTTGATATCAGGAGGGATTGATTCCTAGTTCTGCTCTAGAATAGCAGATTAAATGACATAGCTGTATCTCATATGTGATCAGTGTGTCTCCCTCTGTGTCCTCAGGCTGACCAGTGCACCGGCCTTCAGGGCTTCCTGGTTTTCCACAGCTTCGGAGGTGGCACCGGCTCTGGTTTCACCTCCCTGCTGATGGAGCGTCTGTCCGTGGACTACGGCAAGAAGTCCAAGCTGGAGTTCTCCATCTACCCTGCTCCCCAGGTGTCCACCGCTGTGGTGGAGCCCTACAACTCCATCCTGACCACCCACACCACCCTGGAGCACTCTGACTGTGCCTTCATGGTAGATAACGAGGCCATCTACGATATCTGCCGCAGGAACCTCGATATCGAGCGTCCCACTTACACCAACCTGAACAGGCTGATCAGTCAGATTGTGTCCTCCATCACTGCGTCCCTTCGTTTCGATGGCGCCCTCAATGTTGATCTGACAGAGTTCCAGACCAACTTGGTGCCATATCCCCGTATCCACTTCCCTCTGGCCACCTATGCCCCTGTCATCTCTGCTGAGAAGGCTTACCATGAGCAGTTAACGGTGTCAGAAATCACCAACGCCTGCTTCGAGCCATCCAACCAGATGGTGAAATGTGACCCTCGCCATGGCAAATACATGGCTTGTTGCCTTTTGTATCGTGGTGATGTGGTGCCCAAAGATGTCAATGCTGCCATTGCTGCCATTAAAACCAAGCGCTCCATCCAGTTTGTGGACTGGTGCCCCACTGGTTTCAATGTTGGCATCAACTACCAGCCACCCACTGTAGTTCCTGGTGGAGACCTGGCCAAGGTCCAGAGGGCTGTGTGCATGCTGAGCAACACCACTGCTATTGCAGAGGCCTGGGCTCGGCTGGACCACAATTTTGATCTGATGTACGCTAAGCGTGCCTTTGTTCATTGGTATGTGGGTGAGGGTATGGAGGAGGGAGAGTTCTCTGAGGCCAGAGAGGACATGGCAGCTCTGGAGAAGGATTATGAGGAGGTTGGCACTGATAGTCTGGGAGAGGATGATGATGAGGGAGAGGAGTATTAAATGGCATGCATTCCACTTTATTGATCACAGATTTGTGCCTTTAATTCATGATTAAATAAAGTTTGTTCATGGACTAAACTTGTTTGCTGTGTTTCATGCTCTCACCATTAAAACACTCGGCACAACTTTAATCTGAAAGGTTTTGACTACAGATGATGATGCTCACTTTAGTCACTTGGGGGCAGTAGTGTTCAACAAATGTTTGAACTACACACCATTGTTGAAATGGCAAACTCAATTTGTTGCAGGTTGTTCAACAACTAAATGACTTTTTCAGCATCAGATGTTCTCAGCATACCATTTGCAGTGGTCACATTTCCAAATTAAAGGCTTATTTGTGCTTTACGTGAGAAGAATTGAGGACTAAACCCAGTCTGGTTTAAAATAGGGAGTGGTATTCACTGTGGCCCAGGGGAGGGATGGGGGACTTCTCATAGTGGCAGACAGGTGGTGTTTAAAAATACTTAGTTCTGCTGTTACCAGACTGGATAATGGATGATAATGTCTGAAAATCTGGGAGTGAATTTAGAAACTTGTAAAGCCAAAATTGGGAGAGGCAACATAATCTTAGCAAAAGGAGGTGAAGATGCATTTGAAAGACTTGGTACCAAGCTACAGATATTCAAACATCTTTTTTTTCTCCTTCCAGATACCTGAATGTGTTCTGGTTCATAGAGTGCTGATCAAATGCCATTGCATTAAAAACAGCTGTATACAGCTAATCCTGTATGGAGGAGATGTGATTGTTATTGTTGTATGGCATGGCTCAGATTAACTCTATGTGGAAGATTAACAAATGCAGAGAACGGATGCCATGTAACTTTCTTTTATCCGGTGACATATTACCAAATTCTTTGCTGCTCTAAAACTAGTTGCTGGTGACTGGACAACACAACTTGCAGTGTAGACAACTTTCTTTTTAGAGCTGTAAAGAACTGATTTCCTCAGTGGTGTTAGACCTGGGCGTCTGAGGCCTTGACCTGTAATATTTTATCAATAGCCTTGGATTATTTTTGGACCCTGAAAGTAAGAATAGGCCTAAAAAAGCCCCAGTTCATCCACGCATTTAGGCTCTCAAAAAACATATATATCCTTTTGGGTTCTTTGTGTCATTTAAGCAGCACATTTTGTGTCACAATATGTTTCCTATGACCTGTATCCCAAACACACACCATGTGAAACTGTATGTGGGCAACTGTGCACTCAATGGGTATGGACTAGTTAATATTATTTTTATAATATAATCCAACAACCACCATAGAACTGTTCAACCACCCGGTGTGCAATCAAATGTTGAAACAGCTCCTGGATCCTGCGTTTGAATGTGCGCCCCATCATCAGATGTTCTGTGAGCCAATGGCAGCATAACTGGTGCTGGACCATCTCTAACCAAAACATAACACGTTCACAAGTGTTGTAAAAGTTTTTTTATTTTCATCTTTGTAATTTTGACCAGGTTTGGCTACACAAATGCATTTCTTCAAAGTCAGCAATGTTACTTGGGTTTATTAAATGCACTAAAACAGACAAAAACAAAATGGCTTTTACATGACACTGACCTACATGAAGTTTTATTGCACTTATCACTGAGTTCCTCTGACAACTGTCTCTTCTCTTATTATTAATAAATGCATTTTGTAGATTTAGGATCAACTATCAGGCAAAAATGTATTTCTAATATGATAATTTTTTTTTGTATATTTTCCTTTTTGGCATGAAAACAATGCACAACCAGCGGTCTGTGTGTTCATTTGCAAACGCAAAAACAACTTCAGCTCAAAGAACAAAGGAAGAATATTCTGGAGAGCGCTCTTCTCAGTGTAAGACATGGAGTTAGGAACCACTTGAGCTTTTTTTCTCCATCTCACAATCACGAGGTAATCTTGACTTCTTTTTGGGAAATAAATAAATTTAGGGTTACGTGTTTTGCCTACAACAGAATATGCTGAATGCTGAAAAAGACGTGCACTTCAAAACGGTACAAAAACACAGACGCATACACACAAAGTGCCCTCATGCGTACAAAAGTTGAACTCATATTTGGCTCTAAAGCACAACAGGCCCTGAATATAAGGCAGCGTGGAACAGAGAGGACAGTTTACTACACTGAAACATACATGAAACTACGAGTAGCTCACAGGCAAACACGCCATCGCAACCCGCTTCCTGCTGCTAAATCTGTAGACTGAGAAACCAACAACATACAGTGATTGCTTTAAATAAGATAAATCCCACCCTTCGTTTTCTGCATGCTCGTTCTATTGCAAAACATACACAACCCATTTAAAACCACCTGGGTGCCAAAACAGCATTGCATGACATACAGTACAGTGACACTCATAAGCTTCCTATTTTCCTTCTCTATTTATTTGGTTTATCAGCTCCCAAACCAAAGCAGCAGAATGTCAATAAATGCATTAGTGAAAATAGAAAGTTTCACAGTGTAGTACACCCCAGTCTCAAATGCAATTAGCCAAAATGTTACTCTAGAGAGGAGTTAAGAGACAGAGGAGCAATAAGATGAAAACAATATACTGGCTTTACAGTAGCGTTGGATTACAGTTTGTTCTTGAGACACATTCAGACTTAATGAATCTCCTTCAGCTCTCTAACCACACACTGAACATTGCAGATGATTAAAACAATGACACTTATAACTCCTAAATCTGTCACACATCTGCTGCAGTTGAATTTGTGTCTCAACAATCAAGTTTAAGGCAAAGTGGAGAGAATATTTCATCATAAAACAAACATATGTGACAAAGTGTATTTACCTACTGAGATTGTCTAATCAGCCGGAGCGTGCCGATTAAGGATTGAGTTTAAAGCCTCTTTTTTTTGTCATTTTGCAAAGATGTTGACACACTTGTGACACACTGTGGCAAAGTTAAACTGAGACATCTCGAGTGCTGCTTCTCCAGCGTAAGCACCGAGGACATGCTCTACCATCCAGCCCCGACTTTAACATACAAACATCATCGTATTCAGATGTTCTGAATCTGTTTCGTGTCCTTCAGTTTGTCAAACCTCTGGAAAGAGAGGAGCTTCACAGAGCCTCACACAGTCACACCAACGAAAACCTTTACAGGGGCCGCGGCGGTCTGCGTGAGGCTTCTATTTCTCCTCAGCGGTCATCTTTGATCTCTGGTCCTAACTGAGGAGGGGGCAGGCTGACTCTCTCCAACACTGCTGGTGACCTGCGGCAGAAATTCTTTTAATGTACTCCTTTTCACTTAAATGTATATTTTACTTTTTTCCCAGCATCGTGTTTATTCATTACCTGAGATGGTGGACGATGTCTCATGACAAAATGTGTACGAAGAGAATGGCGAGGCCGATGTTGAGCAGAATGACCATGCAGATCATTATGGTGTTTGGGCCCTTGAAAAGAAAGGAACATGTGAGGCCAGTGAATTCAGTTTCACACCTTGTGAACATGTGGAATTACTGGTGGTGTTTGAAACTATAAAGAAATACTTCACCCCTTGAATGATCATTTGTACATCAGTTACAAAATTCCGCTCCATTACAACTCACAAGGTTCACTGACAAAACAACTGTCTTATACTAAACATGTTTTCCAAATAAATATAACATGCTAACATTATTAGCACAAGCCTATGGCATTTTACATTGTATAAATTAGCCTAGCGACGAGTGGATCATTCCTCTACTATGAAGCCAGGATAAATCACACATAAGACTTAAAATGCTATTTTGTGGAGGCTTTATTGTCTTCACAGTTTATTGTTTCTTATCTGTGACACTGAAGTAAATAAACGCTTCATTTCCACTGAGGCAATATAAAAAAATAGACAGGAAGTCTACATCACTGCAATTTGTAGTTACATTTCTGGGAAGGTGCATGTCAGGCTATGCTGTAGGGTATGGCATAGACTCTACCTTGACGCAGAGCCTACACCGTAGGCACAGTAAGTACAAATTACTAAATGCTAAAAAAGCTAAATGCTAATGTGGCATCTTTGTTCAGCTTTGTGTATTTTCTTATGATTGGACAAATACATTTTTGACATGACGATGGCACTAGATTGAAAATGTAGGGATCACCTAATGTATTACTGTTCATCCTGAGGGTCTGTAAACTTTATCCATTCAATAGTTGATGTATTTTACTGAAAACCATCAATGTGGACCTGATGGTGGTGCTACAGGAAGAGTCAGAGTGTCATCAAGGTCAGTCACATTCATCCACTGGGGGTCATGAACGTCTGTAGAAAAGTTTACTTAAAAGTTAAAAGGCAACTTGTGAACTAGTTGCTAAGATATTTCAGTCGGACCCACTGATAGACTGACACTTAGCTGCGCTGCTAACATGCCTAACAATAATCAAATGTGAGTCCATGTGTGTATTTACTGTCTTACCTCCAGCTCCAAAGAGTCTGCAGTCAGCTCATGACTTGAGCTCGACACTATGGCCCTCAGTCTGGCTTCTGCTTTGGGCTCCACCTTCGGGGCTGGTTTGGCAACAATGGGTTTGGCTTCCACTGGCTTTGGTACTGGTTTCAGTTCAGGACTGGGCGCAGGTCTTGGGGATGGAGCTGGGCTGGGTTGCCGCTTTGGTAATGGCTTTGTCTCTGCTTTGCTGGACGGTCTGTTCACCGCCCTGGGCTCCACTTTGTTCTCAGAGACGGACGGAGCTCGTTCGTGGACGGATGGAGCTCTTTCAGTTTTGACCTCGATGGTTTTAGGCTCGGGGGTGATGGCTTTGGCGGGCACTTTGGAGGCGGGGCGCGGTGCTTCTTCTTCTTCATCTGCAGAGATGAGGCTATTCCTTACAGAGGCAACAGGTGCAGGAGCGACGTCTGGAGCTTTCGCCTCGGAGTCAAACTTCTGCAGGGGCTTGATCTCCAGGTCAGAGCCCTGCTCGTTCTTGGCACTTTGCCGACTGGGGGTGCGAGAGGGGCCGCGACTGCTGGGGGCCGCTCCGTTCTCAGGTGCAGCCGAGGCAGAGGCAGGGGCAGGAGCAGGAGCAGTAGCAGAAACAGAAGTTGCTGGGGTAGTGGGGCGACTGCTGGGCCTGCTGTTGGGTTTACTGCCACCTTTACTGCCACCTCCTTTGATAGTTTTGTCTTCGTTCCAGCTTCCTGGACTGAGGAGTTTTGGATCTTCCTTGGTGATGATACCCGGGCTGGGGGAGGGGGTGCGGCCTGGGGATGAGCCAGGCATGAGACTGTCCAGTTCATTCATGAGTGGGCTTTCGGGTGGCGTGGGCAGGGGCTCCTCCTCAGCGAGCAGCGGCTCATGCATGACAGTCTCTGTGTTCTCACTTCCCTCCATGGCCTCATGTAACACTCTCTTCTTCAGATACTCAGGACCTGTGTGAGACCAGTTCAACCAGTACATTAGAGTCATTCAGTATGTGATCTTATTATCTGATTGTAAAGTTCAAAATTATTAGTTATAATGATATAAAAATATATTTCTGTTGTTTTATACTAAACAGACATCATAAAACACTTCTTTCTCTCACCACATACAAGACCACAGCAGGAAATAACAACTGGACATCATTTGAGAAACTGACTTTTTAATAAGCTCCTGCTACTCTCAAACCAGACTCATTATCTTTGACTAAAATTTCAGGAAATAGCCATAGGCGGAGAGACTTTACATCTTGGAGATCAACTTTATGATAATGCTATTCTCTCCCTCAACTACACTAATTTCCTGTGAGCACAGGAAGCAGATACGGAGGCTGTTAGAGCTACAAGCAGCAACACTTATTAATAATTCTCAACTTTAGAGCACATTTTCCATCACAAGTTGTTTTTTATCCTCCCGAGAGAAAAAATTGTTCAGAAAAAATGGCAAAGAAAAACACTTTACCACAGGATAAACTGATAAATGGAAATGTTGATGTTAAAGTGATTTTTTGATATAGTTATTGTCACTAAATCCTGCATCTTTCCTCGTATTCTGTCAGCCCCGAGTCAGTTTGTTCATACTGAAGTTCAAAACTCTACAGGAGCTCTATACGACATTCAGAGCTTAGCTGCAATTCAGTGAATGATTCAGGTTGTCTAAATACAGCGTTCTCAACATGGAAGTGGCTGATGATACTAAGGGTAAATAACTTTTTTGTCCACCGGCCACTGTGGCTGATGGTTTCCAAAATCTACCAGCTACTCAATAGATAACCATTGTTTAATGTGGCTGGTAAGTGAAGCAAATCTAGCAGTCACTTGCATATTTTTCCAGCACTTGGCTGCTGGCTGGTGCTGCGCTTCTGCGACAACGCCTTGGGTCGGGGCAGCGTTATCAGCGGTAACTGCCATCTGAACACAGTGCATAGCAGCTGCAGTTTGCTGGCTTGTGGGACTGCCATGCACGAACTGAGAGGCTTGGATTACAACACACACTCAACTACGTTCTCCACACAGGACGCCATTACTCTGCCACATCTTCACATAGCTAGTAGTTGTTTGCAGCTATACTGAAGCGACAGTTGATAATTCATACTTCTTTGTCTACTCTATTGCCTTATAGCACTTCTAATGGCTTTACTGCATGTGGACCAAAACAACCAATCAGAGCTGAGGAGTCCTAAAGGCTCAGATCACACAGAGGGGTTTTTTTTTTTTCAACTCCAGGAGTTCAGATCACTGGCAAAAGCACCAGGCGCCTTGAGCACAGAAATGCGAGGCACATAGCAACGCAAAAACAGCGAGCAAAAAGCTGCTTGGGGCCTAAAACAGCTGTCAATTAATTTGTGAGCTGCGGTCAGACTACTTAAATAGGCAGCGCTGATCAAATATGAATCAAGATTCTGTTACTGCACTGCCTATTCCTCGCCTTAAACGTGTCAGAAACATATTTCAGTGACTGTTCAGCTGTAAAATAAGAAAGTTTGTGACCTAGCCGCCATGTTGGATACAGTTAAACAGAGTACCAAGCACCACCCACCAGCCCGACCAACTGTCTCATTTAATGCTTTGATTGTCACATACAGAACCTTTAAAAACACGTCACACACTTATACATTGATTTCTTACAAAATGGCTCAGTAATTCCCCAAAACAATTGGTCACTGTAGTTTTTAGCAAATATTAGTAAAACAGGAATAAATTGTGCATTAGTTGGGGACTATTTTCAGCTGCGGATTAATACACATTTGGTGGGGCATTGGTGGCTTAGTGGTAGAGCAGGCGCCCCATTTACAAGGCTGTTGCCGCAGTGGCCCGGGTTCGAATCCAGCCTGTGGCCCTTTGCTGCATGTCACTCCCTCTCTTTCTCCCCCCTTCACACTTGTCAGTCCTATCAATTAAAGGCTAAAAAATGCCCAAAAAATATCTTTAAAAAAAAATACACATTTGGTGCTTTGGTTAGTATTTACAGCAGCAGCATGATGGTGTATGTGACTGAGTCAATATTAACTACAGTGTGTGTTTATGGTAATGTCATGTCACCCAGTGCAACACTGGGGCTTACTGATGTGTATTAATAGTTTTTGGACAACTATGGAGGAATAATCAGGCTTTGGACACACACTAATACTTGTTAGTGGATGAATTCTTTGTTGGCTTTGACCTATTCATGATGTTTGTAATAAGAAACTATCATATAACAAGACGTATCCTGTAAATCCTGAGGCTAACGTGTTGTTTTCCCCAGCACAAACACGCCAGATGGTGCACACGCTGACACTGTATGTCTGTGTTGTTGTCTCCTTGGTGAGAGATCTTTCACGAAAGAATGCACAGCCGGCCTCAGCCAGGCTTCGTCCATGTGTAGTATTAGCCTGAGACAATTCGTGCGGCCACACACAAAGCTGGAAGACTTTCTGTCTGGTTCCTTGAAGCTCTCTGCTGAGAGAGAAAGCAAGAGGAAAATAGCAACAGGCTCCTAGATGGCTGGTGTGCTTTTGTGTGAACGTGTGAGTGTCGCCAGACTCGCAATGAAATTGATATGATCCCTTCGACCCAATAAGATGTTCCTTTTTTAGACATTCAAATGCGACTACCCTTGTGGTGAGCCTCTGCTGAGGATCTGCTAGCTCAAGCTGGATGCACACAGGGAACATTATAAACTACATGCGAGGATGGTAAAAGTGCTCAGATCTTTAACTTATGTAAAAGTAGCTTTACCACACTTTAGAAATACACTCTTACAAGTAAATGTCATCTAATGTTTCAAGTACAAAAAGTACTCCTCATGCAGAATGCCCCATTTTAGAATAATATTTATTATAGTAATGGATTATAATTATTGATGCATTAATGTGTTTATCACTTTAATGGTGCAACTGGTAAAGGTGGGTCTCATTTTAATATTTATTGTATCCTGCTGGGTAATTTAATCCGTGATGAGAATCTCCCGTTCCACCACATCCCAAAGGTGCTCTATTGGACTGAGATCTGGTGACTGTGGAGGCCATTGGAGTACAGTGAACTCATTGTCATGTTCAAGAAACCAGTTTCAGTTGATGTGAGCTTTGTGACATGGTGCTTTATCCTGCTGGAAGTAGCCATCAGAAGATGGGTACACTGTGGTCATAAAGGGATGGACATGGTCAGCAACAATACTCAGGTAGGCTGCGGTGTTTAAACCATGCTCAGTTGGTACTAAGAAAATCTCCCCCACACCATTACACCACCAGCCTGGAAGGATTTTTCTTGTTCGGACCATCCTCTGTAAACCCTAGAGACGGTTGTGTGTGAAAATCCCAGTAAATACTCAGACCAGCCTGTCTGGCACCAACAACCATGCCACGTTCAAAGTCACTTAAATCACCTTTCTTCTCCATTCTGATGCTCAGTTTGAACTTCAGCAGGTTGTCTTGACCATGTCTACATGCCTAAATGCAGCCATTAGTGTTAACGAGCAGTTGAACAGGTGTACCTAATAAAGTGGCCAGTGAGTGTAGTTAAATTCCACCACTGTCTATTTCTGTTGACTCCACAAATATAACACTAGTGAGAGGTGTGGTGCATTGATGTCATTTGGAAAAGATGGTAAATATGAACCTCCTACAAGAAAAAGAATTTATGACATCCAATTTCAGGTGAAAATAACTGCTTGGATACATGTGTTTGTGTTTATAAAAGTATTTCATACTGTGTTATCATTTTCCAAAGAGGTGATGTTGAAAGAGGTATATAAAGGTATTTCTAAAAAAATGTTATTATCCATTTTGCAGTATTTCTCACACTGACCTGGCTGGTAGAAGGAGGGGGACAGTTCTTTGGCCACCAGTCTGGCGATGCTGGACTCACTGTTGGAGGCCTGAGCGGCCTGCTCAGCTCCCTCTGCCTTGGCCTTTGAGTGGGCTGTCCTGCAGGGGGAACAGATGCAACACCATTCATAAATCACCGACACTACAACAGTCATACAGGTGTTTTATTTTCATGTTACTGTTGATGACATCAGTTATTTTCTCTATTCATATCAAATCAAACATCCGGTAGTCTCTTTGAGAGTAAAATCTCTTTTTCAAGAGAGACTGGAGAACAAGAATCATTCAACACAAAAACAACACTATCACACAATAAACAAGTTATTAAAAGAAACCGTTATAAGAATAATAAAAAAAACATCAAATAATAAAGCTTTAAAATCTCCAAAGGGGAAGGCAAGACTCAAGTTCGAGGGCAGTTTGCAGCTCATTCCCTTTAAAAGGTGCATATCTGAAACCAGCTCTACCAAGTGTGTACATGAGGGATATCTAAGGTTTAATAGGGAGCAGAACATGAACTATAGTTCCCAGATTTAGATGAGAGAGGATTTGTGAAGTAGTTATAATCTGAAAGAAGTCATTTTTCAACATTTGTGCTGGTATCTAATGCTGTAGATCAATATAAATTCATAAATATGAGTTTAAAATAAGTTGAACATTCTGGTAAATACGCTTATTTGCTTTCGTGCTGAGAATTATATGAGAAAATTGATGCCACTCTCATGTGTGAAGCTACGACCAGCAGCTTGTTAGCTTAGCTTACCATAATGACAGGAAACAGGGCTTTATGCTAAGCTAATCTAACCAACCGAAGGTGTCTTACGCTGTACTTACTGCACAGACATGACACCGGTAAAAGGAAATGGTAGAGGGACTGCACTTGTACAGCACCTTTCTAGTCTTCAGACCACTCAGAGCACTTTATTACACTACGAATCACATTCACACACACATTCATACACTGGTGGCCGAGGCTACCGAACATGATGCCACCTCACATGCCGATGGGACAATCAGGAGCAATTTGGGTTTCAGTATCTTGCTCAAGGATACGTTGACAGGCGGACTGGAGGAGCCGGGGACTGGTATCAATCTTTTCAACTGCTGATGACCATTTCACACTTTCTCAGGTGAGACGTTTTCATCTGTGCTTTTGCAAAACTCTATAGACTTTTTTAAACTTAATACACTTCTGCTCTATAATAAAAGTTTAATGGCACATTTCTGCTGAAACACAATCAAAACAAAGAGGGTTTCACAGAACTGGTAGATCAACAGCTCAAAAATTAATATCCTTCAGGCTTTGAGTTTGAATGATGCTACGCTTTAGCCAATCACAATGGAGGGGGCGTGGCCGAGACGTCCATAGTGACCGCTCCACCCAAAGCACCGTCTCGTCAACGTGAAAAAAATATTTTTTACAGCGGATGAGTTACAACATGATTGAGCTAACTGGAGTAGTTTCATGTTGTATCCGACAACGGGAGGCTTTTAACAGATGACGTCCTGATGTTAGCTTTGCTAACTGTCCCTGTCAGCTGCAGCCACTGATGCTTTCTAGACATCGTGATTTCCCATAACTGAATAAATACCTCACATAGCAACACAAAACTGCTTTGCTAGCTCACTCATGTTGTAACTAAGATATCCGCTGGAAAAAATATTTTATTCACGGACTGTTTATTGAGTTATTACCTTATTTTTACACAGTCTGTGGTTATTACAGACACCGCTAACGGCTAACGTTAACAGCTAACGGTTAGCCCAGCTAATCTACGATAACCATGTTATTAATTACAAAACGTGCACACAGAAATAGTAACGTTTGTTCAATCATTGTGTTTATAGACTTAACAAACATCAGATTAGTCTACACGGTGGTATAGTGACGTGAAAAATGTGATATATAGCTAAACTCTGTTGGTTTTCTACCCGAAGTATTTGTAAACAACACGGCGATTCCCTGGGGGCACCGCCGGAAGTGAAGGGCGTGAGCGATCGCTGAGGCCCCTGCACTTCCGTTAGTCGAAAAACTCCGGGCTGTGCCTCCAGAGGTAAAGGAAGTTTTTTTTTTTTTTTTAACCGATGGATTTCCAGATTACTACAGAAGAGACTTGATCACTAACATTAGGTGGGGAAAAAAGCATCCCTCATTATATACATTACTAAACTTTGAGTTTTACTTTTATATTATGTGTTCTACAGTATATTGTTGGTCATGATATTTCTGTATATTTAAATACACTTTGATCTTGACCCTCCTGATCAAAGTACATGACTTCAATATGAAATTTTAAACTTGATGACTTAAAATACTTTAACCAAAAATACCACGGTACAGGGGATTGTTTATAGGCTTCAATCAGGGGTGGGCGGCTGCAGGTCATATGGCTCATTAGTATTATTAGCTATAGAGAGGAGGTGTCCTTTTCTGCTGTTGGGCGAGGACAGAAATAAATGATGCTTTTATCGTCATCCCACCAGAACAATAAGTTACTGAAGGCTCCATCATCACACATATTTCCATGTGACAGAGAGACAGAGAGAATTAACGATTAGCAATGATTTAGCATAAAGAGGATTTACCCATAATGCAACACTAGTGCAATTCTGAACTTTAACACTGTAATATGATGGAAGAACAGGTAACAGAACAAATCTCAGCACATAACTAATACAAATATTGTACTTTTGAATCCACTACATTTATTTGATAGCTACAGTTACACTTGATGCTTTTTTTAATGTCTGAAAACATACTTCCAAGTATGTTTTGGAGATTACACTTCTGTTTTGTCTTCTAGTTTTATGTAAAATTTTGACAGAAGGAGTATATTTCTAATTTTAAGTGAAAGATCTGATTACGTCTTCCACCGCTGGTATTTGGTACAGTACATAAATAAAATAACCATAAAAAAGTACAAATAAAATACAACAAAAATGAGACAGCGGCACACGTTTATAATACGAATGTTACCAATTTTAACTACTTATTATCAGGGATGTCAAAATAATAATTTCAATTAATTAATCACGCATTGTAAAAAATTAACGCTGCTTAATGGCATTCTGTGGTGCCCTTTGACCTCACTGAAGGCCACAGTAGCTTCGTCACATGATGGAGGCAGACGAGATGCTGCTGCTCGGCCCTGTGAATGGAATACTTACATTGTAAAACACTCAGATGCTACTGTTGATAGAAGCACTATTCTCTGCGACTTCTGCAGCAAGGACTGTTCGTACCATCAGAGTCTTTAAGCCTGAAATATCACCTCAACGCAAAGCATTTAGCAGCGAACCCAGAGGTCTGAGCTAGCACAGCCTCTGACGCTAACGCTAGCAATCAGCCTCGTCAAGTCAAACTCGACCTGGCGTTGAGACGTTCTATGGTAGAGGACATGTGGACAATTGTGTCCAAAATCCAGCAGCTTAACTACCACACATCTGCCAAAATTCATTTGATACTTTCACAGCAAAAATTGATGTATGTGATTAATTTAGATGAATTAACCACAGAGCATGTAATTAAGTAAATAATTTTTGTAACTGATTGAGAGCCTTACTTATTATTATTATGTTTCTGGGGCCTTCTGGGGCAAAATCATGTGGTTGCTAAAGGTTCCCACCACCAAATCAAACGGGATCAGTTTCCTTAAGGAGGCTTGAGGGATAAGTGAGCAACTCCGGAATCTGAGCCGAGTCCTCAACATGGGCACGTCTCAAGCCTGTTGTAGACGGGAGGTTCCACACGTAAAAGCGGATTCATAATTATTATGTTTCTGTCTTCTCATAAATTGATAAGTCTCTTTTTTTTTAAGATTATTTTTTTGGGTTTTTTGCCTTTAATGGACAGGACAGATTGAAATGGGGTGAGAGAGAGAGAGTGGGGGTTGACATGCAGCAAAGGGTTGCAAGCCGGAGTCGAACCTGCGACTGCTGCAGCGAGGCATCGCCTCTGTACATGGGGTGCCGGCACTATCCACTACGCTACCGACGCCCCAAATTGACAAGTCTCTACCTGTTCTGTGAGGCTGTACTTAGGTGCAGTGGAGCTACATGCTAACATGATCACAGTGGCAATGCTAACACGCTCATGTTAAGCATAATAAAACTAATGATAACACTAATTAGCACTGAACTGCGTGTGCAGCTTTGTGTGTACGGGAATGTCAGTTTTGCTGGTTTTGTTTTGAACAAATTGGACCTGTGACCAGATGGTGGCGCTAAATGAAAAGGTCAGGGATCACCAATATAATTACAGTTCATCCTGAGGGGGGCATGAATCTGTGCAGCAAATTTGACTTTGTGCCACAACATCGTGCCACTCCATCTCATGAAAGAAGAAATATTCAACTACATTGTTAGAGACGTTTGACCTGCTGGTGGCGCTGTAAGAAAAGACAGTGGTTCACCATAGTCAGGCGTCATCTGACCATCATCTGAGGCCGTGAATGTCTGTACTAAATTTCATGGCCACCGTAAGTGTTGGGATATTTCAGTCTGGATCAAAGAAGCAGACTGACGGGCCAACAGACTGCACGTGTGGCTAAAAACCCGACATCTGCATGCAGAGAGTTCAAGGCTGCTGCTGCTGCACATTAAGTGGGAGAATTACTGATTGTGATTACTCTGTGGATACTTGACATACTGTAACTCTACACTGAGCTGAAAATAGCTGCCTGGTCCACTCGAAGACTCAGTGGGGAAGGTGCTTCCCACTGGAACAATTAGAGACTCCTGAGGCTCCCTGTTTGAAATAGATGAGCTCCACCTGTCCACACACAGTCAGCACCTCCGTCCTCTTTCAGGAACCTCGACACCCTCACATCTCACACATTTATAATTATACTCAGATGTATCATCGAAGGTAGATTTATAATGACAACAGCTGCTTTTTAGCAACAAGCTTCCCAACACAAGCACACGCATTAAAGAAACACACTTTAGGAATACACCATTTAATTTTGCCAACTGTCCACCACTTATGGAGAGGGTATCATGTGTAGTTCTGAATGTGTATTTGTGAAAATATATCACTAAAACTTGGCTCTTAAAGGATGAAGCTGGAGTTGTGTATTTTTTTAGGGTCGTCAAAGTTA